GAATGTGAATGTGAATGTAAATGTAATGTAATGTAATGTAATGTAATGTAATGTAATGTAATGTAATGTAATGTAATGTGATGTATGCGAGGTATGTAATGCTTATAAGGTATGCAACGCGTGAGGCGTAGTCAGTGTAGTCAAGTAGTGTTTTTTTGTCTTATGTAGTGTTTGTAATGTATGCAATGTATGTAACATGTATGTAATGTATTGTATGCAATCCATGTAGTGTATGCCATGCGTCCCTTTCCGGCATGAAACCCCGCGCAGGATGTGCCCAAAGAAGGAGTTCCCCAACATCAAAGATCGTGGCGGTCCTAGTTGATGCACAAGTGCGTTTGTAAGGATGCTTTTGTCATTTGTCGTCCTGCTTTGCCGCCTGAGGTTATGACCCCAAAGTCGCGGAAAACATCAATGACAAGAGTACTCTGAGGCTGTACATCCAGGCGGGAATGGATCAGCGACCGCATTCCTCTTGAGTCCGGAGCGGAGAAAGCAGGACATGAGCAGTGCAGTTTAGAAATACTCTTCATGATCATCAACAGACGGTGCCAAGAGCGAGCGATCCGAAGCCGCATTGTGCAGGTGATGAGAACTGTGACGCTCATCCACAAGGAGTGGCAGGAGCGGCTGGTTTAAACAACTTCTGAATGTCGCCCCGCCGCATTGCCCGGATGATAGCCCCGCAGCCACATCCCGACGAGTCGACGTGACCGAGTTCAGAAAGCCTGTCTTCATGCTCCGGTACCATCAATACGATTTTTCGGACGCCTGCAGCTGATGGCGTGTCGTGGATCCTGTTTCCGCAAGGAGAAGTATGCATGGGAACGTCTAGCCTAGAGCTGCATGAAGCAGACCGGACTATTCGATCGAGCCCCCAGAAGCGAGCCCCGTTTAGAATAAGGTTTTGGGGTATATTAAGATGTAGTCTTAATACGGAGCGCTGAAAACTATTATGTGCTGTGCAGGCAGACAAGATTATGGACGACTTCGAAACTCAAGTTGTTGAGCTTACCGGAAGCAGCAACCTGGCAACAGTCTGCTATTTTGACTGCCAGTGTATCATTGCCATGTTGTTGCACGTTGCTAGCCTGAGGCAAGAAGGATCCCAGCACTATGCAAGCGTGAAGCGCCCGTGGCACTGCAGTGTCTTCCTACAACAGCTCTGTCTTCCGAGGGAACTCGTGCTACCACTTACAACTTACAGGTTACATTACTCTTCCGACTATGCCCCAGTGAAGGCAGTGGATGTAGCGCCGAGCGATTCGATTGGCCGCAGCTCGAAAAGATGGCCCCATGTGGTGCGAACTATGACTGCGAGTAGAGTGCCGGCGCATCGTCGTTAGGATGTTTGCTGTTGTCACTTCTCACAGCTGCTCGGAGTCTCAGCGCTGACACTTCCAACAGATAACAGCTCCCGAGCTGATGTCGGCATGCTCTTGGTTTAATGATCGTTAGTTTGCATTCTTCTGTTCGAATCATTCTATATTGGCTGCTTGTGGGTCGGAACCCATGGCTGCCGTTTGCACGACTGCACCATCTCATTGTCCCCGCAGACGCACCGATACACCGCTGTGAGCCAGCGGCGGCGCCCATGCACCGCATCAGTTATCTCGAGCCCCCATCACTATACCTGAAACCCTAAGCTCTAAACCCAAAAGCCTACACTACTCCAAGGTGCCTCTTCGGCACCTTTGACTTCGCCCCGAGATTTGCGGGTTCCGGGCCTGCAAGCTCTCGTCAGATTTGCGCAATGCAATGGGACCGCAAAGTTTCAGTCAAAAGTACTATTCCATCGGGGTGTAGTATCAAGCGCTCAACAACCAGTGATGATTAGTAATGCTTCCATATCAGAAGTCGGCGTAGTCGTCGTCCTTGTCGTGCGAGTTTTCAAAGTAGTGACGAAAATATCTATAATGTTCTTGCCAAAACACGAAGAAGAGGAGTAGTTGCACTGAAAGTAGTCATCGTAACGGTAGCTGTAACCATTTAGACAAGTAGGACCAGTAACAGAAACCACGGCAATCGGGAGACTCATCCATTATAACAACAGCAGCACAGGCCGTCATCACTGGTAGACTTCTGGTTTCCGGATCGACAGGAGCAGCCGGAACCGAAGAATAAGACGTCGCCGTCGCTGTCGTCGTCGTAGCTTCTGCCAAGGGAGGGCTGAAAGGGAAAGCCCTGAATCCCGTGATCGTGCGCGATGATCGTGTTTTAGCTATCATTGGGCTATGGTGATCATCACCCGTGTTGTTCAAGGTCTTACTGCTTCTACAATTGTAGTTGCGACACATGAGCAGTCTTATGTTTCGTCAGAAGCTGGCGAAGTCTTAAGACCCGAAGCCCTGATACCCCAGACCCGTCATAAACCTTCAACTGCCTAAGTCCTAAACCTGCATCCCAAAGTCCCGGTGTGTGTCGAACGACAGCTTCAGGCCCATCGCAGAATGACGGAGTTGCACAGCAAAGCCTGGATCCTGGTCGCCCTGAGCGGTCCTCACGATGGCAAGCGCCGTTGCTACCTGTAGTCGTACAGGCATGAACGTTTTTGGGACGCTGTCTTCTCTCTCCCTCTCTTCCTCCTTGTTCGCCTTGTTTGTGTGATTAGCACCTTCGTCACTGCTAGATTATTGACGGCACTGTCGCTGCGATGCATGCAAAGTAGTTTCGCTGCCACCATCATACTGCTTTTCGCTGCATTTGTGGTTGTCATCACTGTGACTGTCAGACCCACTGTCAGTATCAACAATATTTTTGTTAGTACGGTGGTGATTATCAACAGTATCAGTATCCTGTTGTTGTTTTTGTTGTTGCTGCTGCTGCTGCGACGACGACGACGACGGTGACTACTGCTATTACTACTATTACTACTACTACTACTACTACTACTACTACTACTCCTGCTGCTGCTGCTGCTACTACTACTACTACTACTACTACTTCTACTACTGCCACTACTACTACTACTACTACTACTACTACTGCTACTACGAATACGACTACGACTACGACTACGACTACGACTACGACTACGACTACGACTACGACTACGACTACGACTACGAC